GACCAGAAAGGCAATAAGAACCATAATTAAAATTGCTCTACAGGATCATCGTTATTTATCAGAGATAATTTTTAAGCGGGGGAGAGAGAGAGCGAAAGAGAGAGAGAGAGAGAGAGAGAGAGAGAGAGAGAGAGAGAGAGAGAGAGAGAGAGAGAGAGAGAGAGAGAGAGAGCATGAATATAAGAAAAGCCTTCCGCACCAACATAACCTAATGATGATAGTATGTGTGTGCGCTCCTGGAGATAGGTCCAAAATGACGAAAAGCTATTTTTGAGCAACGAGGTGAAAAGGTTTTTAAAAAGTAATGCTTGGTCAGGAATTTACTTCCAACACAAAACACACATTTAACCATTTCTTAAAAACATATTGAAACACACATGATTTAATCGTTCTTCTCTCATTTTCATTGCCCACAACTCATTGTCGTGATAGTTAGTTGTCTAACTGTTTTATCGTCAAGGCCAAAATATCCTTTTACCTTGCCTACCACCACCCCCTTATACACAGGCGAACAAACACACACACACACTAACACACACTAACACACACACATACACACACATTCACTCACACTTACACACACACAACAATCCCTTTACTACCACCTCGCCATGCCCAACCTCCCTTTTCCATACTGTACACTAGCCCAAAGACCTGTTGAGAAAAGGCGTAAAGTGCCTGGGTGGATTATTATGATGATGACAACGACGACGACGACGACGACGACGGTGATGACGTTGATATTTTGTGTAATGTTCCAGATGAAGCCATACGGCGAAACGTAGAACATATGTATATAACATTATGTCTTGAAAATCCTACCAAACCTCAATCTTTTTTATTCTCTGTTTACAACGATACTGCTGCTGCTGCTGCTGATGATGATGATGATGATGATGATGATGATGATGATGATGATGATGATGATGATGATGACCATAATGATCATGATAATGATCCCTCCTCAGTTTTTGTTTGTAGTAATACGTGCAATAATTTAGCCCACCCCCAATCCCACTTCCCCAAACCTTTTTCTCCCACCCTCTGCAGTTTTTCGAAAACCAGCCCAAAGACCTGCTGAGAAAACGCGTGAAGACAGTTCTCTTGTACCGGAACCCCAAAGACGTGGCCGTCTCCTTCTTCCACCACCACACGAGGCTACAAAATTACTGCTACACAGGCCGAGATTTTCCTTCCTACCTTCATAGGTTTGTTCTGATCTGTTTTGAATGGAA